CGTTAGGGTTTTTTTGGAATCGCTAATTCCAAATTTGAGGTCAGATTTAAAAAATTTAAAATGGCGGACCCAATATGGCGGGAAAATTTTTTAATTGATTCCATTCGTTTAAAAATCGGTACTCGAGGGTTTTGGGGGTCGCTGAATCCAAATTTGAAGTCAGATTTGGATTCAGCAACCCAAAAAACCTCCAACTACCGAATTTTGAACGAATCGAATAAATTTTAAATTTTTTCTGTTTTATTGGGTGGCCATATGGGGTCCGCCATTTTGAATTTTTTAAATCTGACCTCAAATTTGGAATTAGCGATCCCAAAAACTCCCGAGTACCAAATTTTGAACGAATCGAATCAACTTAAAATTTTTTCGCCATCTTGGGTCCGCCATTTTGAATTTTTTAAATCTGACCTTAAATTTGGATTCAGCGACTCCAAAAACTTTTAATACGATAATATGATATTTTTTTGGTAACTTTTTTTTTGACCTTTTTGGGCCAACAAACGATTTTTCTACTAGACTGCGAAGGGATTAAAATACTCTAGTATTTTTATCTCTCACCCTATATATATACAATAAATGTATAAAGCATTATACTTAATAAATTATAACTATTGATCCTATTTTTTCTCCATATCTTATAAAATTATACAAATTCTCATTTAAAATCAATTCGATGAAATTCATTTTATTATTTCTTATTTTTTACAAAAAAGAAACAGTTTTTTGTGAATCTGTTATCAAAGTTATACAGATTTTTATGTATGGGGCATTCTATTTTAAAATTATATCCCTAGTAAATAAATTGATAATATAATACAATATTTAAATTATTTATTTTTCACCTATTTAATTAAATCAAATTTACTTTTGCAATTAGTTTCGAAAGAGAAATTTCTAAACTTTATTAATGGTAAAAATTTTTTTTTTTTGGAAAATTTTTTAATTAGAATAAAAATTTTAGTTTGAAGTTTAAAATTTCTAAATATCTCAAAACACTTCTTTAATTTTGATAAAATCTATGTCGAATGAAAGCTTAAGTATTCTATTTTTTATTTCCGTAAAGTTTTTTAATGGACATTTTAGAGAATTTTGAGAAATTAATTAAAATTGTTAGACCAAATTTTACCTATGAAACGTCAGAGAATTTTAATTGATTTCTCAATATTCTCTAAAATGTCCATTAAAAAACTTTACGGAAATAAAAAATTGAATATTTAAGTTTTCTTTTGACTTAGTTTTTGTCAAAATCGGAGACAAAGTGTTTTAAGATATTTATAGAAGTTTAATCTTCAAAATAAATTTTTTTATTCTAATTAAATATTTAACCAAAAATTTTTTTTACCATTAATAAAGTTTAGAAATTTCTCTTTCGAAACTAATTGCAAAAATAAATTTGATTCAATTAAATAGGAGAAAAATAATTATTTAAAAATTGTATTATATTATCAATTGTTTACTAGGGGTATAATTTTAAAATAGAATGTCCTATATATAGAATAAACTCGTAATACAACTGTATTGAGCAGTATTTACATTAAAGGGTTTAAATTTAAATATAGGAATCTTATGAGTTTTTTATATTTAAATATAAATATATCTTTCATTTAAATTTAGAAAGCTTATAAGCTCTCTATATTGAAAATCTAAGCTTTAAGATTGTATATATATATATAATTTATCTAATTCAGTAGCACGTACTTTCTTTATTCAATATGATTTATTTTTTATAATAGTTACCCCTAGATTAGATCAATTTTTAAAAAAAGAATTTTCTACCTTAAAACTGTTATTTTAATTAAAAAAAAAGTATTGTCAATAATGTTCACTTCATACTTGTACTTTTTTCCAACAAAAATGGAATTGTTTCCATTGTGTTCTATATTCGAATCAAAACAATTTTCGAAAAGGTTCCTATCATTCTTTTATTATTTTTTTTTTTTATTTTTAATGAACGCTGATGGGATGTTAAAATTGAATCGAAAGCAATTCACATTTTATTTTTATATATATATAAGTAGATAGTAAACGATGAATCGAAAAAGAGTTGCTAACCCTGCCAAAAATGAAGAGGATTCTTTTTTGGTTGATTGATGAAGATACGTCATGTCTCGAATTTCATTTTTCTTTTTAATTGTGATTGAACAAAAGAAAAAATAATTGTAGAAGCAATTGATGTGTTTTTTTTTTTTATTATTATAGGAAAAAGTTAATTTTTTCTGAATGAAAGAATCAGTAAATTCTAATACACTATATCAAAAAAAATTTTTTTCCTAATTAAATAAAAATTTAATTTTGAATTGAAAATTAATTTTAAAATTTTCTACTTTAAAATTAAAAATTAAAACTTTTGATAATTTTAAAAAATTTTACTGTCATTGCATAATAAATTTCAAAAAATTAAAAAAAAAAAAAGATTTGACATTATAAGGATGTTGATTGTTAGAGAAATGAAAAAAATGTTTAGCTTTTTAGTAGAAAACACGAAAAAAAAAATGATTAAGGAGACGAGATTGGCTGACGAATACAAAAGAGAGAAATAGAGAAAGAGAGAGAGAGCGATGTAGTGAAAGACGAGGAACACTTTGCATAAAATGGTTTGATCTTTAAAAAAACGAGTTACTCATCGATATAATAGATAACATGCACATTAAGCTGTTCTTCATCGATGAACAATAACAATATTATACTACCTATAAATTCATCACAATTTCAAAATTTATTAATTATTTATCCCCTTACCGTTATCAATTTTATTTTAAATTGAATTCATTTTTAATTTTCTTTTTCTTATAATATGATTTTATTTCATGTATATATGCAATTTTCATATTCTATATCTAAGATTATTTTTTCTTAATCGCAAAATAAATAAATTTTTTTTTAGATAATAAATTTAAGGAGGTTCAATCCATTAACATAACCTCAAACTAAAAAGTAGTTTTTAACAGAACTAAAAATATATTTAAAATTTATTACATCCAAATTCGACAGATCCAATTGTAAAATTTTGGAAAAAAATTATTTCGAGTCCAATTTTTATAAACAAGGGCTTGTTTAATATAAAAAATAAAAATTTTATTTGTTTATTAACTTTCGAATAAAATATTTTTAATAAAATTCAACAAACAGAATTGTAGAAAATCTTTCAAAGAACAAACTGAGCTATTGTTTGTAAGAATTGCATAAAAATTACAATTTTGTTCACTAACTTTTAAGAAAAAATACAAAATGTTTTTTTCCAAAATTGTACAATTGGATCTGTCGAATTTGAGTGTAATAAATTTTAAATATATATTTTTAGTTCTGTTAAAAACTACTTTTTAGTTTGAGGTTATGTTAATGGATCGAACCTCCTTAAATAATATATTAATAAAATTTTAAAATAACGAATTACTCTGTAAATTTAAATTGGTAAAAATTTTAAAGGGAGGCGACACCTCCAATTTTGACACAGTTAAATTTTAATTATTAAACGAGGTTATATTTTTTTTCTTGCATAATTTTGACTCTAAAAACATACAGGATGGTTAAAAAAATAAAAATGTTGACTATTTTTCCATTTTTTTTTTTTAATGATTCTTAAGAATCTATGGTATGGATTTCAAAAATATTAATTTTTTCAAAAAAATAAAAATTCTAAAATAGTCAAAAATTTAAAATTTGTTTTTTAGACCACCTATGTTTTTTGGGTTCTAAATGATGCAAAAAAAATATAACCTCGTTTAATAATTTAAATTTAAGTGGTTTCAAATTGGGGGTGGTTACTAATTACTAATTCGATAGTAAAAGAATTTTTTTTACTATTAATAAATTTAACTAATTCGATTGTAAAAAATATTTTTTTTTATTATTAGTAAAATTTAACTAATTCCAAAGCAAAAAGTGAGTCACTAAAAGCCCGTTTTCACTGTGTGGATAAATTTAATCTTTCGTGAGGTTAAAGGCAGAATATATCTACTGTCTTTAACATCTCGGAAGAATAAAATTTATTCGCACGGTGAAAACGGGCTCTAATTGAAATTAGTTAAAAATTTTCACTAATTCAAATTTAGAGAGTAAGTTAATTGGAATTTTGAATTTAAATGCTTTTTAACAACTTTTCTTTGTAAAAACTTTTAAGAACGCAATTTTTAAAACTTAAATTTTAATTTAAAATTTAAATATATATATATATCTAGTTTTTTTTTTTTTTACAATTGAACGAACATGAATTATATGATTAGTAAATCGTTAAACTTTCAAAAACATATGAAAACTAATAGTTAATATTATAAGCAATGATTAATTGATGAATGAGGGAATTCAATTTCTAAAAAATTTGAATTAACAGTAATCCCCGATTTTTGTTATAATAATGTGTATGTGATCTAATGAAAAATCGGATTATTATTATTATTATTTTTTTTAAAGAGTTATTTACAATATGTTTGTATAGAGAAATCGGTGGTTGGAAACATCCTTATTAATTAGTGGTTCGACGGTTATTATTAGAGACGATACGACGATTTTAACTGGCAGGGAGAGCAGCGGATAGCAAAGCATTTGGGCACATGCAGCAGACCCACATGCAAATTTTTATTTGAATATATTACGTTTCCACTGAATTTTAACAGAAGCGTTATATTTATGTATCGATAATATCTTTCGTGATAAAAGCTTTTATTATTTACTCTCATTTTATATATATATGGACACATTTTAGTGCAATAATTTAGATTCAATTATTAAAACATTGACTATATATATATATTCCAAAAATGATATAATACGATACATAATACGCTGCAATTATAATAAATATATATATGCATTGCTATTGTAAAAATATGTCGCAATATCATCCGCAACCTAACGACCTTATTTTATCGACGATTGCAGATGAGTGCGGGGTTGAGCTGGCGGTAGTCATTATTGATATATAAATGCAGAGGAAAGAGAAATACAAGAACAAGAATAATCGATGAAATATAAAGTTAAAAGTGCAAAAAAAAGGAACTCACCGGATCTGGGGGAATCCTATAGTCCGTCGATATTTCACTACTCGCACTGCGTTCATCTGTCGATCGATCCCAGTCCACTTCCTTTTTTAATGACTGTAAATAACAGATATTTTAAATATCGTAAAAAATATTTTTAATTTTAATGGGGGTTTTTTTTTCTGTTTGTTAGTTTTGAACAAAAATTGTTGTGTTTTGTTATTTTCTTTCTTTTTTTTTCTATTATTTTTAAGGGTTGGTTCGAATAGAAAAAAACCTGGACTCAAAGAGAAATATAATATAATTTTCATGTCAAATTAGTGTAAAAATAATAATAATAATAATAATACATGAAAAAAATTATTTGATAAAAATTGGACAATTTTTAAAAAATTCGTGTACCATTTTGGCTCTGCTATTTCGAATTTTGAAAAATAGACAACGGACTCGTAATCAGGGACCCTCAAAACCCCTGAATAACAAGTTTCAAACAAATCTAATCAATTTTTAAAAATTCTTCTGCCATATTGCCGCCGCCATTTTTTAATTTGAAAAACTGACAACGGATTCGTAATTAGGGGACCCCAAAAACCTCCGAGTGTCAAATTTGTAAGCAAATCTGATGAATTTCTTAAAATTTGTCCGCCATATTGGCTCCGTTATTTTGAATTTTGAATAATCGACAACGGATTTGTAATCAGTGACGTCAAAAACCCCTCAGTAACAAGTTTCAAACAAATTTGATCAAATTTTAAAAATTCGTCCGCCATATTCGATCGGCCATTTTGAATTTTGAAAATCTGATGCCAAATTCGTAATCAGCGACCCCAAAAATCCCTGAGTAACAAGTTTTAAACAAATATGATCAAATTTTAAAAATTCGTCCGCCATATTGGTTCCGACATTTTGAATCTTAAAAAATCGACAACGGATTTGTAATCAGTGACGTCAAAAACCCCTCAGTAATAAGTTTAAAATAAATCTGATCAAATTTTAAAAATTCCTCCGCCATATTGGAGTCGCCATTCTGAATTTTGAATAATCGACAACGGATTCGTAATCAGTGACACCAAAAACCCCTCAGTAACAAGTTTCAAACAAATTTGATCAAATTTCAAAAATTCGTCCGCCATATTCAAAATTCGTAATCAGCGACCCCAAAAACCCCTAAGTAACAAGTTTTAAACAAAAATGATCAAATTTTAAAAATTCGTCCGCCATATTGGTTCCGCCATTTTGAATTTAAAAATTTTTATTATATTTTTTAATTGTGAGTGTAAATTTTTTAATTTTAAAAAATAAAATTTATCTAAAGTAAATATATATTTTATTCATTGTCATTTATTTGATATTTTCAGATCTGAAGAAAATTGCTAATACGGGAGTGCTGGAATTTTTAAATTTGAGAAAAGGAAGATATTTTTAGTGTTGTAAACTTTTTTTTGTCATTTTAGTAAAATTCATTTTTTTTGTTACGGGAGTGTTGGAAATTCTTAAAATCGCGATCGCTAAAATTTTTTTTTAGAAAAAGTATTTTATTACTAATTTAAAAAATTGGTTTCGGGAGTGTTCGAAATTCTTAAAATCGCGATCACCTAAATTTTTGTTAGAAGAAGTATTTTGTTTCATAATTTAAAAAATTGGTTTCGGGAGTGTTCGAAATTTTTTTTAATCGCGTGTGTTTACGGCAGATCTCAACGTTCAAAATAAATGATACATCGACTGCAGGCTAAGGTTAGTGATTTATATTTTTTTATAAATAATAATTACATGCAATTGTTTTTTTTTTTTTTACTAAAATTTTTTTTTATATACAAAGGTTTTTTTTAAAGCTCATGAAATTATTTCTCAAAAGCATTATATAATTACATTTTATATTTAAAGTATTTTTATTAACAGCTTGTGATTGTTAGGTCCATAATGTTAAACTTTACTCTTAAAATATTAAATGAAATTATTTAAGATCCTGCAACGAAAAAAAATATTCTTGTATTCAGAGGAAATTTCCTCTTACAGAATCCTCTTGAATTTTATTCTTAAAACAAGAGTATTACTCTTTAAATGAGTATATTTTCCTCTAATTTCAAGAGGATCGAAACAAAAGGACTATTTTAGAGCATTCCTCTTATATTCAGAATAATCTTTTTAGAATAAAAATAATACTCTTAGAATTTTGAATAATCATGATGGAGTTGCAACTTACACAATACGTGCCTTATTTTGAAGGTAAAAGAAATTTTTAAGAAAATTTAAATAATTTTGAGGTTGTGCTATTTAAAATTTTATTTTATTATGATTTTTATTTAAAATTTATTTAAAATAAATTTTCAAATTTAATGAATTATATGTTTTGCGCATAAAAATATTATATATATATATATAATATTATAATATAGATTAATATATGACATACAAACTAGATGATTGAATTTTTATAATTTTAGAGTTCTTTTTAAGATGATATTTTCCTCTTAAAATAAGAATATCCTCTTAAATTAAGAGGAATAATTTTACATAAAGGGCAATCCTCTTAAACCTAAAGGACATCCTTTTGCAGCATATACTAGAGGAAAATATGCATTGAAATAAGAGGAATCCTCTTGAAACAAGAGGATTTTTTTTCGGTGTGTGGAAATATTTTGTTTCGCATCATATTTTAGACATTTCCACAAAATCTCATTGTCAGATCAATCGCACTGAAAAAATTATATTCTAAGTTTAAGAATACTTTTTTTGGAGCCTACTTAAGAATATTTCCAATGCATTTTATTCTTCAAGTTAGAATACAAAATATTCTTAAAGTATGAAACATTTCTTAAATTAAGAAATATTCTACAGACAGAAGAAAAAATTTTTATTTTAAGAAATTTTTCTTGTTTTAAGAATATTATATTCTAACTTTAACAATAAAATGCATGGGAAATATTCTTAAATAGTCGCCAATACGATATTCTTAAAATTAGAATATAATTTTTTCAGTGTTTATTCAATATTTTAAGATTAAAGTGCCCGCAAAAATTAATATTGTAGATCTAAAAATCACATGCTGTTAAATAAATAACGTTTTAAAAGTGCTCTATAAGCGATAATTTTTTCATTAGTACTTATTAAACACTAACAGAGAAACAAATTTTTTATTCCTGGAAAACCGAAAAATGTCTGGGAATTTATTTTTTAAGATTCAGTCCAGGTGGAAAAATTATGCATAATTTTTTTTTTTGCCTATAAGTTGGTTACCCTGTATAACATCATTTTGAGTCCAGGTTCTCTTTAATTTATAAATTTTTTCGGTAAACATTTATGGCTTTTGCGTTTAAATCGTAAAATACATCAAAACTTCTGAGCGCACTATAGGAACTTAAAATCATTAAATATGTACATTAAAAAAAAAAGATTGGATGGGGTACCCATTTTTTTCTTAGCAAATGTTTATAATTTGCTATAAAGTGTCTAAAGAAAAAAAATGATAGCGTCATTTTAGACGTCATTTGTCGTATGACATGGTTTTGTGTCATTTGAAGTTTCCATACTAAAGTTATAGTTTTCTATATACATACATTAATATTAAATTCTAATATACTTCACTTATTTAAAGTGAAGCTTATTTTAACCCTTTGAGAACACTGTGTTCTTTTCAGGCAAAAAAAGTTTTTTTTTTGGTTCACTTGTGCATAATTTTTCTGATTTTTGTAACTAAATATTGGAATAATATATTTTTCATGTAGTAAATCTCCAATTTCCAACTCTGGTTTTCAGATAAGAATCCTTACTTAATTTTAAATAACAACAAAGAAGATATCGATCACTCCCAGTCAGTATTCTAATTCGGAGTGATCGATATCTTCTTTGTTATTTATTTAAAATACGACCGAGTGATAAATTCTTAATTTATACTTATTTAATTTTTTTTTTTAAACTTATTTAAAAATCAAAATTTTTTAAAGAAAAATTTGGTTCTCAAAAGATTAATTGGTTTTTTGTGAATTTCATATTAAGGTTATGTGCCTCAGAATTTTTCTTAAACTAACAAAATCAAAATCACTTTTAAACTATAAACGAAAAACGGGATTTAATTTTAAATCCAATCTGCCCTAAGTTGATCTTGAAAAATAAATCAAAAATTGGTACATATTAAATCTTTCAAAACACACTTTAAAATTTCATTTTGGAACTAAAGAAACGGTTATGTACTTCATTTAGAAAATATTTTGTTATTTTTGGGCCCGATTTCAAAGTTATTTTTTTTTTTATCATTTTGAAGCTTTTTTTAATCCAGAAATATTCAAAAATTGTTTTTCAAAAATAAATTTTACTGCTGAATTTTGTTTGTTCAGTACAAAAAGAAACAATTATTATAACAATTTTGAAAGCTTCAAAACTTTCAAAATAATTTAATTCTAAAATCCATAAACGATTTTTTAACTCACAAAACATTAAAAATTATTATTTTTCAAAAACAAATTTTGTTCTGAATTGTACTGGTTCAACACAAAAAGAAACAATTACAACATTTAGGAAAATAAACAAATTTTTTTTTTAAATAATTCAGTTTTTAAATCCAAAAATAAATTTTATAATCCAGAATTGTTCAAAAACAATTGCAGGTATTCAGGTTATCATTCTGACGTACAAGAGTAAGAATCCATGAGCATTTTTTTTTTCTATTGCTCTTAAATGTTTCTTCTCGTCACGAAATTTGTTTGTGAAAAATAATAATTTCTCAATATTTTTGTGTTAAAAAAATCATTTTTAGATTTTAAAATTAAAAAAATTTAAAATTTTCGAAAATATTACAGACGATTCTTTTTGTGCTTGGTTTTGCACAATTCAGCACAAAATTTTGTTTTTAAAAAATAATAATTTGTAATCTTTTGTGGGTTAAAAAATTGTTTTTGGAATTTAGAATTAAATTATTTCGAAAAATTTTATAGTTTACAAAATTGTTACAATTTAAAAAAATTTTATAAGAAATAATTATATTTTATAGACGAATTTTCATTTTTTGAATTAGCATTTAACAGAATTTCGTTTTATACGAACTTTTACTTAACAAAAATTTTAGCTACCAAATTTTCGTTTGGCAGAATTTTTATTTGAAGTCACTTAATTTGCATAACTTTTTATTTAAATAAATTTTAATTTAATCGAATTTTTGTGTGATTGGAATTTTTAAATAGCAGAAATTCCAATTCACCGAATTTTAATTTGTCCGAATTTTTATTTATACGATTTTTTAATTTATAAAATTTTTAAGACACTGAATTTTCATTTTTTCCGAAATTACAAATGACCAAACAAACAATTGACAGAAAGATTTCAGCGCAATTTTAAAAAATTGACCAATCACGATTTTTTTTTTTGATAATTTCTAATTGGTCAATTTTCAAAAATTGCGCTGAAATCGATTGTTTATTTGAAAAAATAAAAATTCGAAGTCTTAAAAATTCTATCCATTAAAAAGTGGTACTAATAAAAATTATGCCAAACAAAAATTCGAAGTAGCTAAAAATTTATATAAAAAGAAATTCTGTCAAATGGTTTTGCACAATTACTTGTTTTCAATTACATAAAAGATGCATTTTTGATCTTCAAAATGTTTTTTTTTTTTTTTTGAACAAAAATTATTATTTGAAAAAACAAAAATTGCGTTGCTAATTTTTTGAATGTCTTCAACTTGAAAATGAACAAAAATTTTGAAATCACTCGAAAATTAATAAAGTTACATGATATTTTCTACATAAGAACTACAGAAAACAGTTTTTTTTTTTGCTTTCGAAATGAAATTTTGAAAGTGTTACAGTTTTTCAAGCCCAATACAGTCCAGTCAAGTTAACATTTTTAGATGTTTTAACTTAGGACCTTAATTTTTTTTTTTTTTGCTGAAATTCTTTTTTTTTTAGGTAAAAATAAAGTACCTAAATTTGGTACTTCGAACTCCTATCGAAATCTAAATTTTTTTTTACAAGAAATATAGCTTCCACAAAAAACCCATAAAATAGCTCTAATAGTTTCCGAGATAAAGTTTCTTAAAGTTGACCCTTTTGAGATTTTACATACAATGTTAATAAATGAGATTCTATGTAAAACTTCACAAGGGTCAAGTTTGAGTGACTGTATCTCGAAAACTATTGGAGCTATCACGTTGTTCTTTTTTTGGCAAATTATCAGGAATTTAGTCAGCTTTAACTTTTTTGTTGGTCATTTTTTCAAAAAATCATTAGTTTCAAAGCTATATTCAAAAAACTGAAAAGTACTGGATTTTGGATAAAATCACGTTAAAAATTGTTTTTTTTTTTTTGGAAGCTATATCGCGGTAAAGTTTTGAGCTACAGGGTTCATTTTTTTTTATCAAATTACTCAGAATTTTCTACACTCTAAATCTGAATCAGTGAAAATTTCACTGAAGTCAAATCAGTGGCTCAGTTTTCTTTAATTCATCAGTGGAATTTCACTGGGAATCAGTAAAAACGATTGATATTGAATCCACCATTTTGAATTTTTGAAAACTAACACCGGATTCGTAATCAGCGACCCCAAAAACCCCCGAGTAACGAGTTTCAAGCGAATTGCATTAGATTTTCCAAAAGTCGTCTGCCATATTGGATCCGCCATTTTGAATTTTAAAAAACTAACATCGGATTCGTAATCAGCGACCCCAAAAACCCCCGAGTAAATAATTTCAAGCAAATTTGAGCCTTTTTCAAAATTCGTCCGCCATATTGGATCCGCCATTTTGTATTTTCAAAAACGGACTTCAGATTCGTAATCAGCGACCCCAAAAACCCCCGAGTAACAAATTTCAGGCAAATTGGTTCAATTTTTTAAAAAGTCGTCCGACATATTGGATCCGCCATTTTGAATTTTGAAAACTAACATCGGATTCGTAATCAGCGACCCCAAAAACCCCCGAGTAAATAATTTCAAGCAAATTTGAGCATTTTTTAAAATTTCGTCTACTAAGTTATGATTTTGTAAAAAATTTTGAATTTGGACGCCATTTTTGGTACGCCATCTTGAATTTAAAAAAAAACCTTTTGCATCATTTTCATGTCTGAACATTTAGGGTTTTATGCATCTCCTAAAGCGAATAGCTTCGAAAAATAATAATTTACAATAAAGTCCTGAGTTAAAACATGATATGCCTTGTTTTTCGACTAATTTGACTGGACTAATAGAGTATAATCCCATTGAAAGTTTTTTTTTTCCACCATCACACAGTATAATTAAAAAATTGTCCTGTTTCCGCTGACCAATCTTTTCTCTGAATGTATATTTAATATTAAAATACATGAAATTAAAATTACGAGAGTGAAAAAAAAAGCACTTACAAGCGGAACTTGTTGCACTGGGGGTAATCCCGAAGGTCCAGCTAATGGCTCTGTACTGTGCGGGGACGGAAGCCGACTTTGTGGTAGATTTAAGGGTGGCGCACCTCCTCCTCCTCCTCCACCTCCAGGTGCACTGCTGTTATTATTACTGAGACTCATGTCACTAGGGCCACTGTGTACAGAAATTGGACTAATAGAACCTCTCGTTTCTTCTAAACTAGTTGCGTCCTCGGAATCTCTCCTTGGTCGATCGAGTGCCAATGGACCAGGACAGGGACTCGCAGGACCACCCGTTGGCGATGCTGGACATTCAGTCATGTCAACAGCCTCGTTAGGTTCACTGGGTGCACGTGGTATTTGTTGAGGTTGTTCACATTCTTTTGCCGGTTCTCTTTCTCGTTCCTTATCCTTGTCCCCTCTATCACGATGTTCACGCTCCCGAATTGTCTCCGAACTTGTATTGTGTTGCTGATGCTGTTGTTGTTGTTGTTCCTCCCTCGACGCGACTGCCGCATTAATATTTGTCATGTCTGCTAAACCCTTGACCTTGAGGCTTTCAGCGGTCTTGAGAAGGGCTGACAATTGACAATATTCAACGTTCACTTCTCCCTTGTACATGAAGTCAACTAGGGTACGCAGCTCGGAGAAGCGGACGTCCTTGAGGATGACAATGGGGTGGCGATTCGGGTGGTCAAGGAACAAGGCTTGGAAGTAGCTGGAGCACGCGGAGAGGACGACCTTGTGCGCACGGATAGAAGGTCCCTCCGTGCACGCCAGCGTTACGTCCACCAGCGATTCCGTCTCTAGTAGCTGACTGAACACACCCAGCAAGTTGCTCTGATGATTGTTCCACCTCAGGCAGTAATGCTCACTTCCCATGTCTGAACTGCCCGCAACCCTGCTGCAATCAATAAAAATCTATTAGTTCAATTCATTTTGTTTTTTGTTTTTTTTTGTTTTTTATATAATACTGGCTACTACTATTATTATTACAGCTGGGAAAAATGATTTCTCTCCAGCTCAGATTTTAATTACATAATCACTCGGAAAGAGATAGAAATAAGAATTTTGAAAAAAGGTACAGTTTCATGTGGGTTGAGGATAAATCAGAGATTTATTATTGAGACGCGAGAAAATGATTTGATAAGGGGAATGTAATTGCGTTTTTATAATAAACGGTAATTATGTTTCATTTGAGATTACTCGATTTTATTAGTTGCAATATGGTGGTTCTTTTTGTTAGGTTCAATTGAAGGTATCATTAATACTGGTTTTGGAATTAATTTTGCAGTTTTAGTTCAATTTTATAGGAGTTTTTTTTTATAAAGACACGCTGATGTACAAAGTTTAGGTATACTTGTTCAAAAATTTTTTGTTGTAATTTTCAATTCATAAAATAGGTTAAAAAGGTTCTTTAAAGATTTTCTCTCTAAATTCTAATTAGTGAAAAGTGAGCTAAGAATTTAGATTAGTTAACATTTTTATTCATTTTTAGTAAAAACACTAATTTGATTTAGTAGTTTAAAATTTTTTTAGTGTAGTTTTGGTAAAAAGTGACTAGAAATTAGTGATAATTCTTACTAATTTAAATTAGAAGCTCACTTTTCACCAATTCAGATTTAGAGAGTTTGAAATCTAAAAGTCCACGCAGACTACGATAGTATTTTAGAAATTCAAATTTTTCGAAAACTGTTAGTTGTATTTCCGTAATTTTTATGTAATTTGCTTACTTAAGATTCTAAATAAATGCCACAACTATTGTTTCTCGAATTTGCTCTTTGAGATTTTGGGTTAAAAATGTGATATTACCGACTGTTGGCTCTGATTTTTAAAATTCAAAATTTCAGTTACAATGATTTAGTTAAATTTTCATATTTTCATATTAGGTATCTTGAGTTTCATAACTATTTATATATATTTTTTTAAAAATTTATTCCTTATATTAAAACTGTTGATTAGAAATCTGTCCTTAGATTTTCCGAGTTGCCATACTTTAACCTAAATTTCAAATGTTCGAATTATTTAAAGGTCGAATTCCATAAAGTCGAATTTTAATAACCATTTTACTAAATTTTTGTAAAGTTTAAAAAAAAATTCATTTGCCATATTAGATCTGTCATTTTGTGTTTTAAAAATTTTATGTCAGATTTGTAATCCGACTTTGAAAACTCCTAGATAATGGGTTTTAATATATTTATATATATTTTTTATAATTGTTAATTTAACAAAATTTCTTTGGCAATTAATGTCAAATTTAAAAAAAAACCTGTAGGTATTAAAAATTAAAAAAAAAACGTTTATAAACATATAAATTTTTTTTATATAATACCCCTTAAAAATCATGCTTAAAATCTTCCTATAGTTTTAATAAAAAAATTAATCAAAATTAGTTTTTCTTTGCTTTTGAGATGTTAATTAATTAATTAATGTTAATAAAAAATATAATATTTTACAATGAAATAAAGTTACTTTAATTCTGAACTTACCAATTGAAAACTTATATAATTCCGCATCCAACGAGTCTTATATGAACTATTTTGGATTGGTTGATTTTTAATAAACAATTAGTTAACATTGCAATTTTTTTTTATTAAAAATCCACCAACCTAAAACACTTCATATAGGGCTCGTTGCATGCGGAATTACATAAGCCTTCAATTGGTAAGTTCAGAATTAAGGTAACTTTATTTCTTTGAAAAATATTACATTTTTTATTAACAATAATTTATTAATAAATATCTCAAAAACAAACCAAAAAATATATTTTCTTTAATTTGTTAATTAAAAGTACCTATAAATATTTTAAGCTTTATTTTAACGGTTTAAAAAAAAAGATTGAAAAATATTTTTAATTATTAAAAAAAAGAGGTAAATTTTGAAATTGAAAAGAATTTTGCCTCACATATATTATAATTTGTAATTTGCAATATATAATCTATAATTTATAAAGAGTTAAAAAAATTTTCCATAAATAAATTATAATACATTTTAAAGTTCAGAATTTTTATTTCAGCTTTATGTTCACTTTGCAATTTTTTTTTTATCTACATATTTTAGTTTTTTTAAATGAGGTTTTAAAATAAATATAATATGACAGGAGAAATAAATTAACAATTTAAAAAACTATTTGAAATGAAAAATAACAAAAAAATTGCATTTGCAATACCAAAAGGATTTATAAAAATTGTAAAACTTACACATTGAAAAAGAAAATTTATTTAATTCAAAATAATCGACTATTATTAAATAAATATTTATTTGTATTAAATAAAAATAATTATTATTTGAAATGATATTTGTTTTAAATAAAAAAATTATTGGTTCAAATACAATTTATTTAATTCAAATAAAAATTATTTGATTCAAGTAAATATTTATTTGATAATAGTCAAGTAAAATCAAAAAAAAAAAATTTTTTTTCACTGCATTATAGTTAATTATTAGGTAAACATAAATTACAAATTTTTGCAAACCATATTCAAGATTGTAGTAAAGAAAAAAAAATATAAAAAACATTTATATAATATTATATTTTTAAACTATTAGACATATATTCCTCTAATACATAAATTTATCGAGACGATAATTGTTTTCAAGATATTGGTTTTTTTTCTTTCCTATTTTCTGTCTGTTAATCTTTTTTATTGTATAGAAAAGAAATTTTGCAATCTTAATCTTTTTTTTTTCAAAAACTATTTAACAATGTTTAAAGTGAGATATCGTTTATCGATATATGTGTAAATTGAAATACTATTTAGAAATACTTTTTTTTTAAATATTTTTTTTTAATTCTCAAGCTTTAAAAGAGAATGGATCTTTTATAAAAAAATATTTGCCTTTATATCAGAATAAAAATCGGATAATGTATATATGAGAGAATTATAAAAATGTCTTCTATCATATATGGACGATCCTGAGGAAGTAATAGCACTAATGACCCTCGATAAACGCAACGTATACCTGTCTCGCGTTACCGACTAACGCAATACTTATCTCCCATTTTGCTTTTACATAATACTTTATCAATCGCACTAAAGCGTAGATTGTGAAGTCTCACGAGTTGCATATACTCCACACACAATACATGCATATAAATATATATATATATATAGTCTATTTGACGCATTTTCATACTAACACAATCATCATCATCACCACACTAGGCAAGCATAACGCATAACCACTTCGATATTATCGATTCTTTACGCCACCACACGTGGTCAATACTAGAAGAGAGAGAGAGAGAGAGAGATAATAGTTGCCAATGATAAAAGTTTTTAAGTATATTGTTAACTAAGTTGACTATTTTTAAGTATTATATGCATTTTAACTATAATACCCAGTAATTTTTTTTTTTTTTTGCAACAAAGAAAGTTTCATTCGCATTCGTGAATTATTAAAAACTTTATTAGTGTCCTCACTTGGAAACTATAAGCTTTGAATGAATGTTGTTATTATTATTATTATTGATTATTTTGTCGGTTAAACAAGGCACATATCTACATTGTATATGATAATTAGTGTCTGTCTAGGCAAAAGAATGTTTATTTATAAAAGTATTATATAGAAGCAAAAAAAAAAAAAAAAATTTATTTAATCGTAAAAAATTATTTTTCTTAATTATTGAAAATTTATTTTTCAAAAAATAACATTTAATGTGCTTTACAATTTTTTTTTTTCTAATTGTTTAATTAATTTTACATTTTTTATATTCCGTTTAAGATTATTATACACATCTAGAGAAAAGATTTCTTTGATTTAGAGAAACAGAAAAAAAAAATATTTCCTTGCTTGAAACAAAAAAAATCTTTTCAGTTTTAAAGAATTTTGTTGCTTCAAATCCAAAGAAATTCCAGCATTAATAGGGTCAGTTGGAGTAAATCGAAACAGTAGTTATTTCAGTTAAATAAAAAATTTTAAAAATAAATACGGCCTCAAACCTTGAATCTTAGATCACCCCCCCCCCCAACAAGGTTTGGGGCCGTATTTATTTTTAAAATTTTTTATTTAACTGAAATAACTACTGTTTCGATTTTTACCCCTTGTTTCTATTTACCCCAACTGATCGTATAGGGTAAAAAAAACATTTATTTGAATTAAATAAAAAATTTCTTTGAATGCCGAATTTTCATTTTTCCGAAATTACAAATGGCCGAAACAAGCAAACGACGGAAAAATTTGGGTAAAGTTTTTGATAATTGACCAATTAAAAATTATCATGAAAATCGTGATTGGTCAATTTTTAAAATTCTGCCAAAATCTTTCTGTCGATTTTGTTTGTTCGGACAAATGAAAATTCGGCGTGTTAATAATTCTATACATTAAAAATTCGTATAAATAAAAATTCGGTGAATTTGAATTTTCGCAATTTAAAAATTCCAATCACGTAAAATTTCATTGAAGGAGAATTCTGTTAAATTAAAATTCGATTAAACTAAAATTCTCTTAAATAAAAAGTAATGTATAAAAAAAATATTCGATAGCTAAAAATTATGGTAGGTATTTCAAAATTTATATGTAAAAAGAATTAGAAACTTGAAAATTTGTCTAAATATAAATAATTCTAAAAAAATACTACCTATAAAATGGAAATTCTAATTAATGATTTTTATGAAATAATCATGTGTCCCCTTAATTTTTAATTAATTACAATTATTTTATTTTTATATAATTATATAATTTATAAAAATATAAATACAATAACAATAATTTAATAATTAAAATTATAAAATAAATTTTTTAAAAGGAAAAATAAATTCTTCTTCTTTTTCCATGTCTTGTAAATTTTTGTTACAATAATTAAAATTTTTTAATTCTATTATAGAATAAAAATACTAAAGAGGGCGTATGTGTATGTGTGTGGTCCTAATTAGAAAAAAAAAAACGGTATTATCTTAAGAA